GTATATGCCGATTTAGATCACTCTAAAACGCACCCTCTAAATATATTTCTCTTCATATATATATTTATATATAAAATTCGGTGCTTTTGTTATTTGTAATAAATTATAATAAATCAAATTAATGAATTAACGAAAAATATATTAAACGTCATTTAGGAAAGATAATTTCTAATCTAATGTGCGTGACTGAATTTTTCACATTTGTCGTGAGCAAAATTTTGAATAAATTTAATAAATACATACTAAATATTTTTTTTGTTTTTTTTTTTTTTTTAATTAAAATTCGTTTATTATTATTTTTAACGATTTAACTTCATTAAATATTCGACTTTATCGGATCAATGATAATGATCATTAGAAATAATTATTTTAATAATAAATCATATCTAAATCTGAATTTGTTAATTACAGTTCATACTCAACTTGACTAATATAAAACGCATTTACAATTTTATGTGTGTGTGTGTATGTGTGTGTACACACATATATATATATATATATATATATATATTTAGAGCAAGAAAATAACAAAGCGTTATTAAGGGTAATTCGGCCAATTAGAAAAATGCGACGGTATCATAATTAATCGTTACTTTTACCCTTCCTCTCTCATCCACCCCATTCTCTCTCTCTTTCTCTCTCTGTGTCTCCGTCTCCCCTCCTTCAACCCACTGTATACCCCTCCTTCCACCCCCTATCCCCACTCCGTTCATTTTCCTCGTCCTCGTTATTATCGACTTTAACGCGACGGACTTTTTACATGGAAAAACAATTTGGAGAAAATGGAGGGAACATTAACGGGAAATCAGGTTCTACTATATTCCTGGTATTTTTTAATAATGCAATTTTTAAAAAGCGCCTACCACATTCGGCTCTTAAGTTTATATCCAGATAATCGAAGCTTATATACCATCCTAAATACAATATATTGGAATTTTTGTTATTCGAGTTATGTCGTGAAATAAAGAAATCGGATAATAATAATTAATAATAATAATGATGATAATAATAATAATAATAATAATAAATAATAATAATAATAATAATAATAATAATAATAATAATAATAATAATAATAATAATAATAATAATAATAATAATAATAATAATAATGATAATAATAATAATAATAATGGTGGTGATGACGTTGATAATAATAATTTTTCGGTGAGGATATAAAATTATCTGTTAAAGTTCGATTTTATTTTATTTTATTTATTTTATTTATTTTTATTTTTTTATTTATTTATTTTTTATTTATTTATTTATTTTTCTTTTTATTTATTATTACATTTTTTTTCATATTTTCATATAAATGTATCAAATAATAATTCATTTTCATCGATTTAATATATTCTTATAATCATTCTTTCATAATCTTTTAATAATATCAACAACAATAATAATAATAATAATATACAAATAATAAAGATAATACTAGATAATCGTGATTATAATAATGGAACAAATATAATATATTAATATATTAGCATATATGTTTCTGATAAATAATTTACAAAAATATTTCGTATATAAATAATATTGAAAATAAACATCGACGAATTCGTCGAATTGATCTAATCTCTTTATTATTGTCATTTATTCAAGAAAAAAAAAAGAAAACAAAACAAAAAACAAAAAACAAAACAAAAAAAAATCAAAAAGAAAAAACAATTCTTTTTTTATCATCAATAAAATAAATATTTTATGTATTATGATATCGGGGGGAAGAAGAAAAAAAAAATAAAAAAAATAAAAATAAAAATAAAAATAAAAATAAAAATAAAAATCAAAATAAAAAGGAAACAAAAAAAAAAACAAAATGAATAATCATCAAAGTCGATTTAATCGTACGTATATTTGTCCACATACATCACATACATACTCTGATAAATTTCTAGATTGATGATACATTAAAGAAGAAGATAGAAGAAAAATGATTATGAACGTTTATGACGTTAAAGAATCAATAGAAGAGTATAATTTGATCGCAAATGTCCCTACCATCTCCCCCCTCCCTCCCCACTCTCTCTCTCTCTCTCTCTCATTCTCACTCTCCCTCTCTCTCTCTCTCTCTCTCTCTCTCTCTCTCTCTCTCTCATTCTCACTCTCTCTCTCTCTCTCTCTCTCTCTCTCTCTCTCATTCTCACTCTCTCTCTCTCTCTCTCTCATTCTCACTCTCTGTCTCTCTCTCTCTCTCTCTCTCTCTCTCTCTCTCTCTCTCTCTTTCTCTTTTTTTCTCTTTCTTTGCTTTTATTTGTCCGCAGAATGAGGGTGGCACAACTATTACTGTGGTGCGTACTACTCGAAGATTATGGTGGCAATCTCGGCAGGGCGGCAATTACCAGTGACTCCATACGACAAGACGCCGCCTCCGCCTCTGCCCCCGCCTCTGCCCCCATTTCTGCCTCAGCTTCTGCCTCTGCTGCTGCCGCCGCCTCTGCCGCCGCCGCCGCCGCCGTTTCTTCCTTCTCGTCCGCAACGAATCCTACATTACCAGGTAAACCATAAGATGCACGGGCTTTTATACCCTTTATAATCATCCATTGCTCATTATGACGACACGTTGTCACAATTTTCAACTATCAACTTAATGATCATTATCTTTTTTATTTATTTGTTTGTTTTTCTTTTTTCCTTTCTTTTTCTTTCTTTCTTTCTTTTCTTGTTTATTTTTGCTTTTTTTTTTTTTTTGATCTTCAATTTTTTTTTTTTTTTTTTTTTTTTTTTTTTTTTTTTTTTTTTTTTTTTTTTTTTTTTTTTTTTAAGACTACATTTTTTTTCCTACTAATTCAAGACATCTTTTTTTAAAGACATTCCTACTAATTTTTAATCGTTTACGTATAATATGCAATGTCCTTTTTTTCCGATCTTATCTTACTTCTTACTCTGAATATTATGTATTATATGTATATATATATATAATTTTATGATTAAATTTTGTTGAATATGTGTATTATAATAATTGTATTATTATGCGATATAATAATATGTTTACAAATGATACAATTTTTTATTAATAACTTTAGTACTATGTGTATAGTATATAATAATTATTCAGTAATTATTAAAGACAAGACGATTATATATATATATATTTTTTTTTTTTTTTTTTGTAATAATGATAAATAATTTGTTTACTATTCTCATTAAACTTTTTTTCTGTCTGGTTTCTTTTTTTCTTTTTCTTTTTTTTTTTTTTTTTTTGATCACACGATCATATTAGGGATCAATCAATCAATGAAAACAATTCATGCGATTTCGATACCAATATAAAAGATGAAATTATATTATGATGAAGGACGATAATTATTTTTCTTTTTTTTCTCCCTTTTTTTCTTTTTTTGTTTTTTTTCCTCCTTTCTCTTCCTTTCTTTTTTTTTTTTTTGGTTATTCTAACAGATCAATAAACAAAGGAATAAATTATTCTCTTTATTATCTCATTGAATTTTCTTTCTGATATTTAACATGGTAATTAGGTCATAATAATTATGTAAAAATTTATCCTACGGTAAATTTACTTTAATTAGGAAAAACGAGTGAAACGTGCAATTCCTATTAGTACAACTATTAAATGGTTCTCTTTTCTAACAAGCTTAAACAAATTCTATCGTAATACTAATCTTCTACGTTGGATCAGAACTCTCCTATCGTAGTTCCGATCTTAGGTAAATTCACGAACGATGTATACCTCGGCCTTCATAACGATAAAACCGTATTATGACTATGCTCGAAGCTTGAAATTCACAAGAGAGAGAGAGAGAGAGAGAGAGAGAGAGAGAGAGAGAGAGAGAGAGAGAGAGAGAGAGAGAGGAGAGGGAGTGAGAATGAGTGAGAGAGAGAGAGAGAAAGAGATAGAGGGTTTCCTTGAAATTTCGAAAGTCGATGAGTCGTCAAACTCTAACATTGCTCTTCTAGCATAATTTCGTTAGCATAATTCTTGTTCCTTCGATCCTTGACCTTATTTGCACTTTTAATTAATCAATCCCCAACCAAATACGTACACACACAGACATATATATATATATATATTAAGAATTTGAAAATTTTGGCTAGGATGTCTAACTTGAATTAGTTTTTTTATATATATATATATATATATCAAGGATTAGAAAATTTTGGCTGGAATGTCTAACTTGAATCAAAGTTATTTCTTTTAAGGCGAATAAATTTCTGAATAATTGGGACATCGTATGATGAATAATTTGATCAGTTTTAGAAAACGAATGAACTTATTCTAATTTGTAGTAATTAATTTGGATCGATCACATACACACACACACACACACACACACACGCGCGCGTACATACATTTTAAGCGTTCGAAAATTTTCAATAGCATGTCTACTTTGAATTATAACAGATATTTTTTTTTTTGTTTTTTTTGTTTTCCTACTTTAGAGACATTTTGGAATATTTGAAAAGAGAAAAAAATGTTTATGTGGACCAATTCTAATTTGAAGACATTAATTGGCCACCGATCAAATGTATGTATATCAAAAGCGTTAGAAAATTTTCACTGAGAGATCTAATGTCAAATATTTGAAATATTTTTTTATTTCTTTTCTTTTCTTTGCTTTGATAATTTTTTGAAAAATGAATGAAACCTTTCTAATTTATACTAATTAATCGCGACCGAGGAAATACGTATACATACATACATACATACATACATACATACATACATACATACATACATACATACATACATACATACATACATACATGCATAAATATGTATACATACAATGTCGAGCATAAGAAAATCTTTACTAGGATGTATGACACGAGTATTTGAAGTATTTTTTATTTATTTATTTATCTCTTTTTTTTTCTTTTTTTTTCTTTTTTCTTTTTCCTTTATTTTTTTCTTGTTCCCTCTTTTTTTCTTTTTTCTTGTCCGTACAAGAAGAATAATTATTTTTAATACTTGCGAATTACTTTTGATAATTTTTAAAAAGAACGAATGAAACCTTTCTAATTTGTACTAATTAAATGTGCCCAAGGATATACACAAGCATACACACACGTACATATTAGAAAAATGATTTACTGGGATAATTGTGGATGCGTCCAACTTGAGAGTTCGAAGTATTTATTTATTTATTTATTTATTTATTTATTTATTTATTTATTTATTTATTTATTTATTTATTTATTTATTTTTTTATTGTTTTAATTTTTGTTAATTAATGTTTAAATTCCGGATGCGGAAAAGACGATACGACTTTGAAAACTTCCTATGGAACGTAGTTAACGCAATGCGATTTGTGCCTTTCAATGTACAATCGATGTGTTGTGTCGTCCACGATTTCTTCTTTTTTCCTTATTTTTATACTTATTTAATTTATTGTTTTAATACTTTCTTTCTTTCTTTCTTTCTTACTTTCTTTCTTTCTTTCTTTCTTTCTTTCTTTCTTCCTTTTTTTTCTTTCTTTCTGTATTTATTTTTTCTTTCACTCGTACAACTGGAATTTCTAAATACTTGCAAATTTATTTGAGATAACTCTTAGGTAGAATGAATGACATCTTAAAAATGCACTAACGCCCATATTAGATTCTTCCCGTCGCCTCTTCCGTGCGAATACCAAGATGCTTTAAGGTGAAGCATATTCTCGTCTGTCAGATATACTATCTCTATGTATATATACATACATACGTACATATATATATATATATGTGTGTGTGTGTGTGTGTGTGTGTACGTGTGTATGTGTGTGTGCGCGTGTATAATATATAACTATGTATTACGTTACTTTATACACGTCAGATACATGTTGGATTGTCGTCGACGTCGTCAACGTCAAATTGACGATTCGACGCTTTTTTCCTGTATTTTAATATACGAGAAATATTCAGATTGAATTATGTCAAAATGAAAAAAAAAAAAGAAAAAAAAAAAAAAAAAAAAAGAAGAAAAAGAAAGAAAGGAATTTTTTTTTTCTTTTTTTTTTTTTTTTTTTGTTATTTTTAATTTTTTTTTTTTTTTTATTTATATTTTTATCTATACGTCCGATTGACATTTTACAGGTAAAACAATTCTACCAGTAATTACGTCGAAATTGTTTGATGATTTTTAAAAATCAATTACGCGTTTTTTTTTTTTTCTTTTCTTTTTTTTTTTTTTTTTCGAGATCTTGTAATTTTAATATATGTCTCATGATGTAAGGGGAACAAAAAATTGAAGACTTACATAAGTATTCTTCGTGAAAGATTAATTGATATTTTTTTTTTTTTTTCGAAAGCATTTAAGAATTTTTGTCCCTGTGCATATATACATATATATATATATATATATATATATATATATATATATCGTATATAAATTATATAAATAGTACAAAAATATTTTTACGTATATTTGGATATATTTATTAATAATATTTTTTACATATAATGGATAACTAGAAAAAAAAAAAAAAGAAAAGAGAAAAAGAAAATATGTGTATACAAAGCGCATTTAGAGAAAAATATTTAGATACATGTATCTAATAAATGTAATCTCAAATATATATATATATATATATATATATATATATATATATATATATATATATATATATATATCTAATATAATATTTCAAAATATATACATATATAAACAGATATATTTCTAATAACGTATATCCATATACATAGACATATACATTGATAGATAGATCCTAAGATAATAATAAAACTAGATGTTGATAATAAAAGTATATGTAAATAAAAGAGGAAAAGAGTTTTGTTAAATCCATAAAAAGAAAAGTAGTTTCTTCGAATAGGAAGATCATTACTCTGTAATGCCGTAGGATATTTCGAATTCATCTTATTTGTGTTACGTCGAATACATACATTTTCCTTTCTCTCTCTCTCTCTCTCTCTCTCTCTCTCTCTCTCATCCTCTATCCTTTTCTTGGATTTAAGCTTCCGTAGGATTTAGGATTGAAATTTCGATCGAATCAAAACGACTTTTCATGGATGATCGTATAAGTCGATTCGAGAACGATGGACCTCTCTCTCTCTCTCTCTCTCTCTCTCTCTCTTTCTCTCTTTCTCTCTCTCTTTCTCTTTTTCTCTCTTTCTCTCTCTCTCTCTTTCTTTCTTTCTTTTTTTGAAGCTTTTATTTCACATTTAGAAGAGAGACAGAAACAAAGACAGAGACAGACTGAGACAGACTGAGACAGACTGACAGAGATAGAGAGAGAGAGAGAGAGAGAGAGAGAGGATAAAAAAAAAAAGAAAGAAATACAGCATTTTGGTATCTTTCCTTCATCCGTTCGATCGTAAAACTGGGAGGAGCTCGAAGAATCATGGTTCTTTCTACTGTATAGTAGTTGAAGAGGGAGGCGTGTTCCGCACAAAAGCCGTACCGGACGACGGATGCGGAAAAGACGATACGACTTTTGAAAACTTCCAATGGAACGTAGTTAACGCAATGCGATTTACGCCTTTCAATGTACGACCGATGATGTGTTGTCTTGTGCTGTCCATGGTTTCTTCTTTTTTCCTTATTTT